GGGCGCGTGCCTCAGTTTCCCCGGGGGTCCCGGCACTGGGCAGAGCCCATGGGGGCCCTTTCCTTCCCTTCCCTTCGCCTCCTGGCCGCGTGCTGGAAATATGGAATTACAATAATAATAAATAATACATGCACCGTAAGTACAGATCATAAAAACGGAGTTGGGTGGAAGTGAGGCGTGCTCACAGAAGTCCTTGCAGGGTTGAGGAGCCAGGCTCCATCATCCCGGCGGCCCCGACCGGCCTGAACGTCTGCTTTTGTTCAGAGGGACCACGCTCGCCCAACCTTGGGCGTTTTTCTTTCTCTGAGGACAGGGATGGGGACCCCCTAGCTAAATGGGCCCATTGCAATCCTGATGCAAAGCAAGAGGTCTTCAGCGGAGTTAAACCAAGGAAGGAATTGCCTCATTTTTCAGTATCGTCATTATTTAGGTAGTGGAAAGCAATTTTGAAATGGAGTGCCCCTCCATTTACAAAAGTTATGCAGGGGTGGCTTGAGTTCACTGTAGTGTGCCTCGAATCCTAAACGGTTGATAACTACAGGTTTCCCTCTATTTATGCGGTACGTGCATTCCTGGAAAACTGCGCATAAATCAAATTCATATAAAGGGAGCTCAGCTTACAATGTAAGAAATAGGGATGTAAGAAATAGGGTTACATTCCCATCTCGGTGAGGGAGTAAGGCTGGGGGGAGGGGCATGGCACAGCTCGTGGGCCGCTCCTGGGGCTGCAGCAGGGAGCAAAGTGGGGGAGATGTCAGTGGGCGCAGGACTCGGGGGGTGAGGCTCTTGGTGCTGTGTGCACCCTGGGGGACCGTGCCGGGCTCTTCCCGGAGGGCGTGTGCCCCTGGATCTGCGAGCAGGACAAGAGCAGGCTGCCGCTGTAGGCTGGGGCCAGCAGCAGCACCAGGTTCTTCCCGAGGCTCAGGGCTGGTGGCAGTGCTGGGAGGGGGGCTGCTGCCACCCCAAAATTTGCTATAGCCCCCCCAGCCTGACCTTCCAGCGCCACCACTGAGCGCCTGGAAGAACCCGGTGCCACCACAGCCTGCAGCAGCAGCCTGTTCTCATCCGGTGCGCAGATCCGGAGGCACGGATCTCCCCCCACCCCCCCGTCCCACACCCACTGACAGTTCCCTCCGCTTTTCTCCCTGCTGCAGCCTACAGAGCACCGTGCTCTGAACCCCCCATGGCTCCACTTGTCCTCACTCACCCCAGCTCCTACTGCAGCAGTCCCTGGAGCAGCCAACACGACCTGCCTGCATCATGGCACAGCCCAGGAGCTGGGGTGAGTGGGGACAAGCGGAGCCCCAGGGGATCATGGCATGGTGCAGTCCAGTGGCTGCAGGCAGCTGGCATCAGCCACTCCCAGGGCAGCTGTAATGGGCTGGGGTGAATGGGGCACCCAACCCTTTCCCCTCCCCCAACAGACTTACTTGCTTGGGGGGAGGTGGGGCACCTATGCTGATTGCATAAGAGTGAATTTACCTCTCATAGAACGAATTTTGGGTATAAAAGGTCATCGTTTAAGAGCGAATTCGCATGTACAGAACCCGCATAAATCGAGGGAAACCTGTGCTGGCTTAAATCATTACCACCTTGCAAGGAAACTTAACTTTGTGTTTTTTACAGGGGAGGTGGACTGAGAACATTTTCAAACATTATTGCTTGTCTTATAGTAACATTTTTATTTTGCTAGTTTTAGGGCATGTCTACATGTTCATTAATGTGTTGTAATTACAGCGCATTAAGTTTAGTACCTGTAATTACTTAATGCACTGTAATCAGTGCTACTGCACATTAGCACAGACGAATGCTTTTTAAGTGATACTTAATACCCACTGAACTAATCTACTGTGCATTACCATGTTTTTTGCATGACATGCTAACGCACAGTAGAATTAGTCCAGTGGACATGAAGCGTCTCATGTGGTAATGTAGTCTTTGTAACCACCCTGGTCTTGTGATTTTAATTTAATTTAATTTAAAAACAAATTATATGTTCTGATTTCCTTGCCTATTACTCTGGTCCCTGCACAGACCCACTAAAACCTCATTTGGTTATTCAAAGTGAATGCTGTGAAGGGTAGGATACACCACGTAGTACAGGTTTCCCTCGCCAACCACAGGGGTTAGGTTCATGAAAGTTCCCATGGCTGGCAAAACCGTGGTTGGTAAGACAAACGGCTTATGGGAAAAATGGGGTTAGGGACTTGAATATGAGTTCCACCCTACAGGGAGTTCAGAGGGAGTGGAAGGAAGGTGGTGAGACAGGGGGCACCACGTGCATGTACAGTACGTGCACGTGGCCCCAGGCAGCCTGCAGAGCAGCTCCAGCAGGTAAGTGTGGGGGAGACGGGGATTGAGGCCCCTGTAGGGATGGAGCTGCTGCAGCTGGGCAGTGCTTGGGGCTGGCAATGAAAAGCTTCAGGGCCCCAGTGGGGAGCAGGATGAGGCTCATCCAGGGGAGGGCCAGCTCCCTGCCAGCGCACGCACTCCTGAGGGGCAGGGGAGACCCCCAAATCTATACATGGGGCAGGCGTGGGCTCCCGCCCTGCTTCCCTCCTCTGGCGTCTCCGCCAACTGGCAGCCTTGACCTGGTGCGGCTGGGGACAGTGGGGCCGCGCAGGGATCTTGCCACGGCTCGCCCTCCCCACTGCCCTGGTGATGTGCCTCCTGCACCTGCCGCTACTTTGAGGGGCGCAGCCCCGTGCTGCTGCCCTTGCTGCAGCCCCGTGCACAGGAGGTGCGTCACCAAGGCAGGAAGGGAAGCAGGGCATCAGGGTGGTGAACAGTGGTGAGCAGCTTCTTGGTGCAGGCCCACTGTTCCCTGCCATCCTGCTTCCCTCCCTTGTGACCTGGCAGGTCAGGGAGCAGAGGAGTTGCGCAGGGATCTCTTCACCTGCTGCTGGTCACCCTGCACTGCCTTGGCTGCCCTGCCCAAGCCCACAGCGGCAGCAGAGGGGAGTGGGGGCACGGGGCTGCAGACCTGAGTCCATGGCCGTGGCAGCCAGGGGCCCCCTCTGGCAGGGCTGGGGGAGCAAAACCGTGGATACTCAAAACTGTGGTTGGTGATGGAAACCTATACCAGTCACCTATATAAAGTGCTTTCTGTTTTAAAAAAAGAGATGCATGTACCAGACAAGGTGGGTTCTTACAATGATGGTTTCACAATATCACTTCAGAGTTAAAGCTGTCTCTGAACCTGAACTGGATAAAATGGGAAAATACTAGTTTCCCCTAATGGACCACAGGAACATCATTTCTAATCCTAAAGCATTCTACCAGCAGCCACACAGCACGTTTAGTAGTTCATTTTGCACCATTTTGGGGAAATATTTTGCCTGATTTTCTGCTAATTACTTTTCCTCTTTCTTGGACAGGAAGAACCTCGTCAGTTGTATCCTTTCTGTAAATTCCATCCTTCACACTGAGGGAGGAGCTGTGATAACATTTGGAATGGATGATTTGCTTCTTGCCTAATAAGTTTACACAATGTTATCTTCATTGTTACCCTGTTTTATCTTCTCAGCAATCAGCACCATCTATTTGAGGTCCTAGGAGTAACCAGTAGCTTCTCAGGGAATGTATGCACTGCAGAGTTAACTCTGGTGCTGCTACAACTTGGCTCCTGACCAAGTTAATCAGAGAGAATAGGCTTTTAGAAATGTATGAGAGAGAGGAGGATGGGTGGACTGGTTGGTCCATAGTAATGCCCTATAGACAAATGAGATTTGTAGAGTAATCTTCATGAAATCTGTGCAGCACACACCCCTGAGACCTGACATTACACAGCTGACAAGAGGTACTAAAAAGGGTTCCATAGCACTCCCTTTTTTCTCCCTTGAGTTAAAATCTTGATGTCCCCCATGCACACACCCACTCCCTTTCACCCTTGCCAAAGGCTTTGTAACTACCTAAGAAAAAAGGCAAATTATTCTTCAAAGATTTCTGCTACTGGAATTTCTCCAGCATTTTGCTCCACCTTCCTTCAACTAGAGAAACATGAAAACCAAGTTCTGCTTGAATAAGATTAAGAACCTTGGGAACTTGAATACACCCATTCATCACATGCAGGTGCTGTCATCCAAAACTAGATGAGAACCAATGCTATATAATATAGAAAGGATCAGAGCATCAACCTCAGTCTTAGGAATGATTCAACAAATATGGCTAGAAATCTGGGGCCAGAATTTCTGTATGGGCATTCTTCTACAGCAGGGGTTTCCAAACTATGGCATGTGTACGCAAGACATCTTGGGAAGCGGGGTATGCAGGAGAAACTAATGGTGGATTTAATTTTCATTATTATAATAATAATTGGCATTTAAAGGGTTAAAATATATGCTGGTAGGGATATGCAGGCAGCTGGTAAATCTGGAAGGGGGGACACAATAAGAAAAAGTTTGAGAACCTCTGTTCTAAGGAAAGTGTCTATAGTACATGGGTAAGATGTTCAAGCTGGCACTTGCAGTCCTCCCTCTACCCAGGAATGGTGTCTAACAAGCAACCAGTGAGCTACTAAGATAATACAGCTGAAATAGCAGGGTTGTTTCAATACTGAACTCTGCTAGCTAGGCAGTGCTTTCCCAGCATACCATACTTTCTTGCAAACCATTCCAAGACATTTTGGGTGCATATACACGATCGGGGAAGCTACTGTGATACACTGTAATTTCAGCATGTTGGAGCATAGCAATTGCTGCGCTCCAGCAGCATCCTGTGCCTTGCATATCAGCATCCCTGTAGTTCAAAATTGCGGCGGGGTGCTTCATTTAAAGTTCGTTAGATGCTCCTCCCGGGGCACATGTCTAAACGCCCCTTGTTTTTGGGAAGGCAGAACGAAGAAAAAGATTTTTCCAGAATTAGGGCCACACACAATAGAGACAGCTTGCTCACCCTTCATTTGCTGCTCAGACAAAACCTACCATTTTAACCCTTTCACATCTGAACTGTCAGCAGATCTAGGATTTGGGGGGGAAAAACCTAAAAGCAGCCTGCAGGACTGTGAAATAGGAGAAGAGACTAGTAGCTAACAAAAAGCAAAACTGCTGAAGAAACGACAGCTTCATTTGTGGAATATCGAGACTTAAGAAAGAAAGGGTTGTCAGCACCTCTGGAGTGAAAAGCAGAGAGCAAAATTGCCAAAGATAGGATGGCTTGATCATCAAGACCATAAAAAGAAGATAAGGTCCACTAATGCCTGTTGAGTGAAGAGTAATTAGCAGGAATAGAGTAGATTATAATAAACTATGAAGTCAAGTGACTTCCTCAGGGTTGCCTGCTTAATGCTGTTCTTGTGGGCAGAAAATCAGCTTCTCATTTTAGGACATGCTTTAGGAAGCCTGATTCTTGGGAGCAGGATATGTGTGGCTTATAAATTTGGTGTATTCTTGCTGCACGTTTTATCTGACTGGCAAATGGGTGGTGAAGGTTTGTTCCATTAGTCTAGGATTTGGGAAACCTGGATTAAGTCCCTGAGTGCATAAATTCTTCATTTGTAAAACAGGGTTGACAGCACTCCCCACCCCCATTCACACAGGTATTGTGAACTTAAGTACCTTAAAGATTGTGAGGAAGATCCAATGCAACAGTAATGGGAGCCATATAAGCACTTAATGGAAAAAAAAAAAATTATACAAATCCCACCTTCAAGAAGCAAGCTATCATTCTGAATTCATGGCATTTTTAATCCAAATTTAATGGAGTTTTCCCCCTCAAGATCCCTATTATCTTGGCTATATGGGTTGTTATGGATAGTGACTTTGTTTTTAAAAACAATGTGCCCAGAAACACTAATGAAAGAGATCTCAACTGCATTACTATTAAATATCCTTAACTTCTGCCAGCTGTCATCTGTTCCTTTACAGATTTTGTTCTACTTAAATGGAGTTTATTACATATTTTATTTCTTGGCAACTCTTCTCATGATTATTTATAAGAGTAAGTTGCTTTGCATATACAGGCAGTCCTCGGACTTATGACGCAATTGGTTCCTGAAAATCGTGTCTTCAGTCGAAACGTCGTAACTCGGAACCAATTTTCTCATAAGAAACAATGTTATAAATGGGGGATTGGTTCCTGAACCAAGGCCCAATACCCTATTTTCACCAAAAATACCCCAGAATTTTGTATTCGATCAGTTATAGATGAATAATATAGCTACATTAATGTATTTATATTGTAAATAGCAATCACATTGATTTGGAAGGACTTCTTTGAAGTGACTTTGTTGGACTTTTTGAAACGCTCTTGGTTGGACTTTTTGACATCCCCCTTCCCTGCTGTGATAGAAGCCGGACGCGAGGGGATCGCCTTCAGACCTCAGGTTGGGGAGGACCGGGTTAGAGAGCTTCTGGAGGGGCTGGACGCGTTCAAGTCAGCGGGTCCGGATGCTCTCCACCCCAGGGTGCTTAGGGAGCTAGCTGGGGTTATTGCAGGGCCCCTGGCACGGCTCTACGAGCGATCGTGGTGCTTGGGCCAGGTGCCAGACGATTGGAAGGTAGCTAATGTGGTCCCCATCTTCAAGAAAGGGAAAAGGGAGGACCCGGGCAACTATAGGCCCGTCAGTCTTACCTCAATCCTGGGGAAACTCTTTGAGAAGATCATCAAGGAGCACATTTGTGATGGGCCGGCATCAGAAATGATGCTCAGGGGCAATCAGCATGGACTTATTAGGGGGAGATCATGTCAGACCAACCTGATTGCCTTTTATGATCAGGTCACAAAGGCCATGGACGCAGGTGTCGCGGTGGATGTAGTCTTTCTGGACTTCAGCAAGGCCTTTGACACCGTCTCTCACCCCATCCTAATTAATAAACTAGGCGACTGTGGCATAGATGCCTACACAGTCAGATGGATTGCAGATTGGCTGAAGGGTCGCACTCAGAGGGTGGTGGTGGATGGATCATACTCGACTTGGGGGGAGGTGGGTAGTGGAGTCCCCCAGGGCTCAGTCCTGGGGCCTGCGCTGTTCAATTTCTTCATCAGCGATCTTGATGCTGGGGTGGAAAGCAACCTGTTTAAATTCGCTGATGACACCAAAATTTGGGGGGAGGTGAGCACGCTAGCAGGGAGAGAGAGATTGCAGAAGGATCTGGATAGGTTACAGGGGTGGGCAAACAGGAACAGGATGTGTTTCAATACGGACAAGTGCAGGGTGCTGCACTTGGGTAGTAGGAACCAGCAGCACACTTATACGATGGGGAACTCCCTACTTGAGAGCACGGAGGCGGAAAGGGATCTTGGTGTCATTATTGACTCCAAGATGAACATGGGCCGACAATGCGAGGTCATGGTTGGCAGGGCTAACCGGACCTTGTCGTGCATCCACAGGTGCATCTCGAGTAGAGCCAGGGAGGTGATCCTCCCCCTCTATGCGACGCTGGTCAGGCCGCAGCTGGAGTATTGTGTCCAGTTCTGTGCGCCCCATTTCAGGAGGGATGTGGACAACATGGAGAGGGTCCAGAGGAGGGCCACCCGCATGATCCGGGGACAACAGGGCAGACCCTACAGTGAGAGACTGCGGGACCTGAACCTATTCAGCCTCCACAAGAGAAGGCTGAGGGGGGACCTGGTGACCGTCTATAAACTCACTAGGGGGAACCAGAAGGGTTTGGGGGAGACGCTGTTTCCCCTAGCCCCCGCTGGCATAACAAGGAGTAATGGGCACAAGTTGATGGAGAGGAGGTACAGATTGGACATCCGAAAAAACTACTTCACAGTTAGGGCGGCTAGGAGCTGGAACCAACTTCCAAGGGAGGTGGTGCTGGCCCCTACCCTGGGGATCTTTAAGAAGAGTCTTCTCAGGAGTCTTGGCTGCAGGTTTTTCTGGAGTCTTGTCTGCTTCCTTAAAGAAAGTGTCCAAGGAAGTTTGGACAGATGTTCTTCAGGGAGATAAGCGACGCAGCAAACTTGTTCGCTGGCGTGGCATCGCATCAGATCAAGCATGTAAAGTTGAAACCGATGTCATAAAGTTGAACCAGGGTTATAAATATTGTAAGTGCAAAACGTTGTAACGAGAAATGTTGTAAGTCGAGGACTGCCTGTATTCTAAATGCAGAAGTTAGAGCTGTATCTTATGTTTGGATCTAATTCATTAGTTTGGGCTTTTTACATGTTACTCAACAGGTCAAGTTTTCAGTTATCCAGATAATTTCTTGGCACTTGATCTTGCTTTGCTATTCATTATGGCCATTCTGGAAGCAGTCCGATTATACTTGGGTATGTTATGCTATCACTGTTCCCTTTAAGACAATGTTTATCTCCTCATCCTTAAACATTAATGACTTTATGTGTACATCAAAACATGTTGATTTAGCGAGTCAACAGATTTTATAGGTTGTGGTACATGCCTAGTATTAAGCATTAACTGTTTAATCTGTTTGGCCAAAAGACGCAAATAAAACTAGCCTACACATGTTGGTTATTAAGTATAAGTAGTGTGTACTATTGAAAAGTGATGGCTAGACATAGTGATAATTGCTACAAATATAACACTGGCATGTTGCTGTGTTATTTGTAAACGTAAGTGTTGTGAGAGAGGGTAATCTCACCACAGAGCTTCTGATTCAGTAGTAGGAGATGCCTTCTTTACACTGTTCCAACAGCATAAACATGCAAGCACATCGCTGGAATCATCCCCCGGGTGGTACTCAGTATAGCAATGGTGACCAACCCATCCAGCCCTCTGGGGCTGGGCTAGGATATGGCATGCGCCCACAGGGCTCCCCATGGCTTTGGGAATTGGTAGGTTGAGCAGCGGCAGCATTACCATATTGACTTGATTCTAAGATGAGTGTTTTTACCCCATTTAACATGGGGTAGAATTGAGTCTGCGGGCAGTGTGGGGAAGGCAGTTGCTGTGTCTTGGCCTCCAGCGCCTACCCAGGATCAGGGCCATAGCCACAGCTGCTGTCTGGCACCCCTCCCCCTGCTTCTGCACCCCACCATCTCCCTCCACCACACACAGCCTCTGCTCCCCTGCCTGCTGGTCTCCCTCCCCCCCTTACCCTTCCTCTGTACCAGCAGGCATCATGCATGCTGCAGCCTGGGGCACAGAGCACAGCCCCCGCCTGGCCCCATAGCAGTAGTGTGCAGCTCCCATGGCTACTGCGAGAGCTGGGCACGGACTGTGCTCAGTACCCCAGGCTAGAACTGGGATGCAGCCTGCCATTGTGGAGTAAGGGTAAGAGTTGGGGAGAGTGTATGGGAAGCAGAGGCTGGAAGGAGAAGGAGGGCAGGGAGAGGAGAAGGAAGTGGAGAGCAGAGGCAGCAGGCAGGGGGCAGGCATAAGCAGAGGGCAAGCTGCTTAACCACCCCACACCACCTGCCCCCTTGATTGCCTGCCCCCTGCAGCAGCAGGGGGACTGAATTAAAGACAACCCTTCAATAATTAGATTTTATATATGGAATAGTACAACAAATGTATACATTTTCCATGTATAGAATCTAATTATTAGGGCATCATCTTAAATTCAGGGTAATCTGAAGTTCCAGTAAATGTAGTAATTGCTGTGGCTTTGGGAGCCATGGTGATTACCACTGCCACCACTCCCCCTGCCACCAAATTTCCAGATACTTGGAGAGCCCCAGGGGCTGGATGACATGGCTCCGTGAGCCAGATCTTAGTCACCCCTGGTATCGTGCAGTGGGGCCAGTCTCTTTGGCAAGCATGCCACAAATTAGCCCGGCACCCTTCCCAAGTGCCACGCCAACCCCTTCCTCTGCTCAGTCTGCTGCTCTGTTTTCTGCTCCAAGCCCTGTGCCACCTGCCCAATTTGTTGCTTTGCCTTCTGCTCCCTGCCCTATCTGCTGCATGCTGCACACAGAAGCTGCCCCTGCCACTTGCAGCACCTGTGCTGCAGATTGGCCACTGCTGGTGTAGAAGGTTCCTCCAGCAGTTTAGAGATGCTACTGTGGCTCCATACCACTCCCCAGGCCCTCCAGTACTGTATTCTGGTGGTCACAGCCACTCTGACCAAAGCAGCATGAAAGGTGCATATCAAGCCCTAGTTCCAACCCTAGCACAAGCACTGTTTTTATGTAGCTGCAAAATGCTGTTTTGTCTAAAATCATGTGCCTGATGCTCTTAAGATATTTAGATCATGGACCTATGGTGACTTCAGTTGAGTTGCATCTGGAATAAGTATGGCTAGTGCCTTCATTTTTATAGTTAAAAAGAGGCTTTAAACAAGTTCCTGGTGTGGGCTCAAAGCCTACTGGATGAACACACTATATATAAGGAAGTTGTGACTTTGAGCCTGACTTGGAAGAAAGGTACAAACCAGAAATACAACACACGTTTTTTAACAGCAAAGGCAATTAAATATTGGAACAGATTCACATGAGGGACATGGTAAATTCTCCATTGCTTGAAATGTTTAAGTGGAGATTGGATATCCTGATAAAAGTTGTACTATAGTAAACAGGTTATCAGGCTACATGCAGGAACCAACAGGGCGATTCAGTGATCTGTTCAGCAGTAGGTCAGACTGGATGCTTGTAATGGTCAGACCTGCCTTTAAAGTTCATTAATCTATGCAGATAACTTAGATGTTGCAACTCAGAGCTGGGGTGTCAGGACTGACTGGGTTGTAGGCAGTCACTCAGCAAATTACCGTAAGCAAGCCGGGGTCACACCAGGTATCATTTGAAATCCAGGGCTTCAGGCCAAGGATTGAGGCAGTATTGTGTCAGTGAAGAAGGTAGATCAGAGCTAGGAGGTCCAAACAGAGCTGGGGATGAGGAGGAGGGGGGCAGGGATTGTGGTTGGGCTGGGATCAGGCAGGAGCTAACAGGAACTCATGTGGAACTGGGCAGCAGTCCACACAAGCAGGACTGTCCCACAGGGGTTATGAGGGGTTTTATAGACCTGTAAAATCCTCCTGTTAGGGGTTTGTGGTGTCTATAGGTTCCCCCTGGTCACCTGACTCCTGGTTAATATCCTTGTGGGAGGAACTAGCCTGGGCTGGGGCTAGCATCTGATCAGCTGTGCAGTGGTGTTGAGGGCCCAGCTTCTGTCTGTTGGCCTAGCTGCCCCAGGTTCAAATCCCAGTAGCCCTAACAAGGGGTGTCTGGCTCACTTGGCCTCACCTCTAAAAAAGGCAGCAGTAGGCTGTTGGCATGCCTGCTAGAGCTGCTCAATCAGTGCAGCTCTGGAGACAAATGGTGTCATTGCTCACTTTTTCTCCTGCTGCTGATATTAATTGCCAATGGTGACCAAAGGCCCTGAATTCAGCGATAGCATTCACCCCCTGGTTTCCAGAGCCATGCCAGTGTCATAGCTCTTGCAGCTGTGCCAAGCCCCACAGGCTACATACAACTTAACTCTCAGTGGCCCCAGTTGGACACCCCTGTCTTAGGACATCAGTAGCTTGTCCTAGATCTAGATTAACTTTGTGATCAGTGCAAACAGGTATCCATTGATTTTTTTATTTGTTTCTATGCTTACAAACAATAGCCCTGATTCAAGAAAGCACTCAAGCATGTTCTTGAGCTTAAGAATCTGCTTATGTGCAGTCATTGAACAGGAATTAGGACTCAAATTCTCACTGCAACTCTAAAAACCTCTAAAAATGCTCTTTTTATTTCCACAAGGTACAAAAGGTAACTTGACAGAAGAAGAAGCTTCACTAGGGGTCAGTCTTGTGATCACTGTTGGCAGTGCCATCCTGTCTGTCTATTTCTTGGTATGGGAGACCTATGTACTGAAAGCAGACGTCATTATAAACGCTATTCTTCTTGTGACGTATGGGCTTGAAGCAATACTACAGATCATTGCCATTGCTGCATTTGTCAACTAAACTTCTGCTCTGCCCAGCATTGTACAGGGCATCTTTTTCTGATGCAGTTCTTCAGGAAAAGGGACAAAGGTGCACCTTTAAAGGGTTCCTTGCAGAAGTATTTGGTTTCATTTTCTCCACTGTAAAAACTGAAAAAACTCCTCTTCCCTATATTACAAGGTATGTTTATAGCTTTTCTCTGGCAGGAACTTCCCTGAATTAGAAATGAAAATATTCTGAACAGTGGTTTTGCTCCACTGTCTGACCAATTAATTTGTTCAAAAGCTAAGACCATGAATCACCAAACTACTGAAGTACATGTTTCGATTTAAGCATATGAATAATTCCCATTGA